CGGGGCGTCGGGGGTGCTACGAAGGGAAGTTGCCCGGCAACAATAGATGTAGCTGCGGACTGGGCCCGCGCGGGCAAGATGGGGCGGCGCCCCCTGCGCGCGCAGCGACATGGACAAAGGGGGAGGAGGAGGAGGAGGAGGAGGAGGAGGAGGAGGAGGAGGAGGAGGAGGAGGAGGAGGAGGAGGAGGAGGAGGAGGAGGTGAGGAGGAGGAGGAGGAGGAGGAGGAGGAGGAGGAGGAACACATGTGAACATCGCGCATATCCACGGGCTGGGCGACGCAACGCGGCGGTGGCCCGACTTCGGCCCGATGTCTTTGGATCAAAAAGCGCGTGACAAGCTGAACGCAACGTGGAGATCGCGACAAATCTGGGGGGGGGCAAAGCGGGCCCTCTCCAACCGCCGATCTATGAACATCACAAAAGAAAATCAAAACATACAAATTGTCCTCCAAACTTTCTGCTATTGGTCAGAGCTGACCCTTTGTGGTGTTTTCCAAAGGATTCACACTAAGAAGCCTTGCGCTACCCCGCCGCCCTTATCCCGAGGTTGCACTGCCCCGCAGAAGGATACGAGGACGAGGAGGAACGACGGAGAGCGGGGAGCAAATGAGGGAGGAGTATATATATATATATAGGTGTGTACACACAAATCCGAATAATATGTATGATCATGTGGGGGGAAACTTATTATTTGAATTGGAAACGTAAATCCGCCGATCCAGCGTGTGAGCTACAAGGAACCTGAGCAAGAGTTTCAGGTCTGAGCCTAAGCAAAAACTTCAGCTCTGCTTAGGGGGGGTCGCCGGGGTGGCTTTGCCGGGGAAGGGGGGGGAGGGGGCGCGTGGGTCACATTGCAACCAGGACGGCCACTTTACAACCAGATAGGGCATTTTACAGCCAGCATGGGTTTTCCCAGAAGGGCACTTTGCAACCAGGAAGGCCACTTTATAACCTGGCGAATAAAAGCACATAGGCGACACATGTTCTTCAGTTGCAGAAATCTCCGTAGGTCCAAGTAATGGAGACACTTCGCTCTGTGAAGCGTGTTGGTTGTAAATCGACCCGACTGAAGCGAAGAATCTGTGAAGTCGCGGACTCCGAATGGTATCCAACAAGAACCCGATCGGAATCCCACCGGCGCCCTTCCCACTGGGATCCTGGTTGCACCAGATGAATCCCATTGGTATCCAACAGGATTCCTCGATATGGGACTTAAGGGTGTCCTATTCGACTCCGACAGGGATGCTTCCTATTGACCCGTTGGGGACGTTCCTAATGGAAGACGATTGGAAACCCCAATTGATTACAATCGAAGAACCTTCCTATTGGAATGCTGCGGAAAACGCGCTGGGGGTACTATATGGAAACCCGGTGGGTATTCCTCTGGGTTTTTATTCGAAAGCAGTAGAAACCGTCTTTCTCTTGGAATCCAATCAAAGCCCTATTGACAAGTACAAGGGTGTCGCCCTGAAATCCGATCGGAATCCTTGCTTTACGATCCATACGGGCATACTACTTGGATCCCACGGGGACCCAACAGTAGCTCAACAAGAACCTGTCCTGTTAGACTCAGATTGTGCCCCGATTGGCGCCCTATTGTTATCCTCGTGCTATTCCAAAAGAGCTATTGGACGCCAATTGAGATCCAATAGAGATCATCCCGCTACAGGCTGGTGGCAGGTCTGGGTGATTTAAATTTGTTTAACATCCATACTCTCAATCTGCATCATTCTTTGGGGCCGGATAATCTCTGCCTGAAAACCCTGATTCTTCTGGAATAGAAAACAATAAGCGTTCGCCGACAAAGGCGCAGCGGAACGCACGCGCCCCCAGGAGAGCGGACATTTGGCCAAGAAATCGCGGGTACAATTCTAGCCAACGCGAGCGGATTTCACATTTGTTTGCTTCATAGACATATGTTGCCCTCGCGCCTCGTCGTCTGGCAACGACGCAACAGTATGTGTTCGCATGTGCGGAAGCATGCGCGCCCAGGAAAGCGGACACGTGGCAAAGAAATCATTTGTCAAATTATAGCCAACACATGTGGAGTTCAAATGGTTTTGTTTTGCATGAAAACCATGTTTGTCATCGCGCCTCATCGTCTGGTAGTAGCAAAAACCAGTATGCGTTCAGAAGTGCGGAAGCATGCGTACCCAGGAGGGCAGAAATGTGGCCAAGAAATCATTAGTAAAGTTCTAGCCGATACATGTGGATCGCAACGTGTGTGTTTGGCCGCACAGACAACCCTCGTCCTTGCCCCTCATCGTCTGACAATGACCAAAATCGGACGGTTTCGCATTCGCGGTCGCATGCATACCCAGGAGGACGGAAATGTGGAAACGAAGTTGGTGATTAGCCAATACATGTGGATTTCAAAACGCGTTATGTTCGTCTATTTCTTTGGAACGTAAGCCATGTTTGTCCTCGCACCTCATCGTCTGATCATCACGAATCCATATGTTTTCGCAATTGCGAGCATGCGTGCCCCGGAAGGCGGAAATGTGGCCAAGAAATCGATGTAAATGTTCGAGCCACTACGTGTGGATGCAAATTTGTTGTTTTTGGTCTCACAGACAGCTGTCGTCCTCGCGCTTAAGCGTCTGGCCAAAACAGAACCGCATGTTTTCGCATTCGCGGACGCATGCGCACCCAGGATGACAGAAAAGTGGCCAAGAAGCCGTTCATAAAACTCTAGCCAACGCGTGTGAATTTCGAATCGTTGTTTTTGCTGCATCATAGGCCATGTTTGTCCTCGCGCCCCGTCGTGTGGCAATCGCAAAAAACGCATGTTTGCGCAATTGCGGAACCATGCGTACCCAGGAGGGCGGGAAGATCCCGAGAAATCTTTGGTTCAATTCTAGCCAATGCATGCTGATTTCAATGTGTATTTCTTGGGTCTCGCAAGCAGTTTGTGTACTCGCTCGGCAGAGGCTTCAGAGCGCTCAGGCGCTCGGAAGCCTCTGCCGAGCGCTCAGGCGCTAAGACGGCTCTGCAACACGCCCAGGCGCTCAGAAGCCTCTGCAGAGCGCTCAGGCGCTCAGAAGCCTCTGCAAAGCGCTCAGGCGCTCAAAATCATCGGAAGAACGCTCAGGCGCTCGGAAGCCTCTGCAGAGCGCTTAGGCGCTCAGATGCCTGTGCAAAGCGCTCAGGCGCTCAGAAGCCTCTGCAGAGCGCTCAGGCGCTCGGAAGCCTCTGCAGAGCGCTTAGGCGCTCAGATGCCTGTGCAAAGCGCTCAGGTGCTCAGAAGCCTCTGCAAAGCGCTCAGAATGTTCAGGAGCCCCTTCAGAGCGCGCGCGCGCGAGCTTCTGAAGGGTGGTTGTAAAGAGGCCGTTCTGGTTGCAAAGAGCCCCGTCTGGGTTGTGAAGTGGTCGTTCTGGTTGTAGAGTGGGCTGTTCTGGTTGTGAAGTGGTCGTTCTCAAAGGAACACCCAGGAGTTCGATCCTTTGCTGTAGTAATTTGCGCGTCACAAAATGTTTCGGGGGGTCCGGGAAAGGGGGGGGGTCCCGTACTTGTGTTTTCTTAATGATTTTCGCATCTCCAAAATGATTCGGGGGGGCCCAGGGACCCCCATCCGATCTAGCCGCTACCGCCCCCAAGACCCTCCCCTCAGAACCCTACCCGGACTTCCCCCGGGACCTCTCCAAGCCCCCCCCCAGCGAGAACGAGGACGAGCGAGGACGGAGAGGGGAGCGAGCACGCGATGCAAAAGGGTCAGCGGGAGGCAAAGGATAACGAGAACTAAGGAGAAGAAAGAGGACCGGAAGAATCGAGGACGGAGGACACAGAGCCGCGAAGATCACCGAATCTGGAGACCCCGGATCGGCGGCACTGGCCAGAGGCCATTACAATATGAAGAAACCTCATGCGAAACGACTGGCCCGTCCTACCGACACGCCTGGTGGAAACAAGCATAAGTAAAAAGGAGTGGAGGGAAACTGGCCCGGGACCAATGCATGACTTGAACTGGCTCGCGCTGCGAGCTTTTTCGCATCGCCAAAAAGGACGCCAAACCTGCGGCCGACAGTAATCAGCCGGAGGGGGGCGCGGGGAAGAGAAGAGCTGATAAGGGAAGACGGGGGGGGGTCGGAAAAGATGGGCCGGGGGGGGAGAAGAAAGGAAGGAACAGCAACGCTCCCGGAGGAGGAAGAAACAAATAAACATAAACTTTTGACGGTCCGCGCGGACTTTTTGGATTTGCGCTGGCCCCCCCTCCCTGGCGCGCGGAACGCGCCATGAACGGCGCCAGGCGCCGCCCAAGGGCCCCAGGTCGGATCAGAGAAATCCGCGCGGAGCGCCGAAAGTTTACGTTTATGTTTTTTGTTCGAATCCAGAGGAAGGGAGGGGGCAGGGAACATGATGAGGAGAGAAGGAAAGAGAGGCTCTGGCTTCTTCTCCTCCTCCTCCTCCTCTTCCTCCTCCTCCTCCTCGTCCTCGTCTTCGTCCTCGTCCTCGTCCTCGTCCTCGTCCTCGTCCTCGTCCTCCTCCTCCTCCTCCTCCTCGGGCTTCAAATTTGGGCAAACTCTGAAAGCTCGCAGCCCGCGGCGGCTCCTCTTGCGCTGCCGGCCCCGCGGCGGCTGACACAGTGGGGGCCTCCGCCAGGGCGTCGACCTTTTCTCATGGGCCTCCTTACAATGAAGACCCGACCACAAGAAACCCTCCATAAGAAACCCAACCCTCTGACGCCAGGACGTCCATAGATTTTTGGCGTGGAAACGCCACGCTCTCCATCGCAATGCCATCGGCACCCAAGAAACCCAGGGCACCGGAGGCATGCAGGGTGTTTCTTGGCATGGGCTTCCTCAGCAGCGGCTCGCGCGGGGGAGGGGGGGTGATGTGGAACACTATCGCTGGTAATGCTTTTCTCTCGCTCTGCGCGGCAGAGGTCGTAGTTCAATTAGCTAAGGGCCCTGGAAAATGATTAAAACCAAATGGGCGGCGGCAGAGAGACCCTGGACAGCTGAGCAGCAGCGGCAGAGGGCGAGTGAGGAGAGCAGCGAGTCTCCTGGAATCACACTCCTCCTGCACGGTGCTCAAACGGCGCCGGGCGGGCGCACGAGGCGCCAGAGCAGCCGGGCATATAAGCCTGGCGCTGTGTTCATTAAGCGGAGTGCCAGGCGTGCTGGCAAAAAGGCAAGCAAACGGCCCGACACGGCTTGCATTGCAGGCAGCCCTTGGGGCACTTCAGCGGTTGCGCTACACGCGACATGCAGGATATTCTCAGCTCTCAGCGCCGCCGGCGCTATAATCAAAACCAGGTAAGGATAGCAATAGCAGAAGTTCGATCGCGAAGTGACACAAATTTTAACAGCTATCTTATCGAGATAAAACCTGAACGGGGGCGATCGTCATCACAGATTTGCACAACAAAAAACTTGTGCACGCTGGATGACGCTTCTATAAATGCGGATGTACGTGTAAATCTTTTAGCCGGGTGTGAAACCTGAGAAACAATGCAGACCAAAGTAAGCGGGGTCGCAAGAAACGGCCGTCTAGCAACAACAGCATAATATTAGCCGGTTCGACCGGCCAACCTGCCGTCCAGACACCGAGCGGGATTCATTTGTCCTTTTTGGGCTTCGTCGGTTTGTCCATCAGGTCAGGTCCGCGCCAGCAGTCTCTGCCGGTGAGCCTCCTCCAACGGCCTATGAGATCATCCATCGCGACTTCCAGGAAGCTCGTGTCATCGGGGTTGCTGTTCCTGTGGAACTGGGGAAGCCACGACGAGTGCTTCTTGCAAGTCTTGCAGGTAATGTAGACGCCATGCGGGTTATGTCCGATTATGAAATCATGGCGGGGGACGGCGGCCACGCAGTTGAGCATCTCGTTCGACGACGCCGTCGGCAAGGGACCCTTCCACGAAACCACACTCGCAGATACTGAGCTCGATGAACTCGACGCGGTGACTATGCTTGGCGAGGGAGGGGCTGAATCCGTACTCTGAGATCTCGCTGACCTCGATCGCGCTGATGTTGCGGTAGGTGATGCGCTGGCAGGCGGCGGTGCTGGCGGCAGCGGCGGCAGCTGAAACGCAGGCGGTTGCGATGGGTGGTGTCCGAAAGGGACGCCTGAAGCCGATGCCGCAGAACACGACGCCTGCGCGCTGCTGGGCCCAACCGAGGGGCGCGCCGCGATGTCGCCGTCGTGGTCACGATCCTCGGGGATGGTAACTTGAAATACGACGCCGGCCAATCGCGCGGCCGCCCCAGCCGGGATGCTCACCCATTGCCTTCGCCTCGGCGACGTTCTCCTCGGTGGCGATCATGTTGTTCTGCCTCATGATCGCCCAGAGCGTCGAAGATGCCGAAGCCGATAGCCATGCCGACGAACAGCGTGAACGTCAGCAAGCAGATGTAGAAGCTATAGTCCAGCACCGTTGGCGTAGGCGTAGGCCGTCCCTTGACCTTGCCGACGCAGGTAAACAGGACTGAAGCGAGCATGGCGGCACGTGGCTGCCGGGTCCCGTAGCTGCGCTTGCGAACCCCGAAGAGAGCCAGCAAGGCGCCGGCTTCCATCGCCTTGGTCAAGATGTCCGCGACCATGGCCCAGGTCGGGATCCAGCTGAACTTGAGTGCACTGTTGGGGTGCACGGCCTCCTTGATCATGGAGGCGACGATGCGGAACCGCTTGTCGGTAGGCTGGCCCCCATCAGAAGCGACGTGCGTCACGAGACCCTTGCTGTCGCTGTAGATCTCCCCAGGGCGCTTGTCGGCGAGGACGATCTGCGTGGGCGCCATCTTGGGGTTGTAGGCCTCGGTCAGCAGCTGGCGGAATCAGACGTTGGTCTCCGATCCCTCGAGGGTCGCGTAGCCCTCGGCAGCGAGGGTCGACTTCACCGACCTTTTGACCGTGCCCGAGTGCCAGGCCACGGGCAGGCGAAGGTCGTAGCGGCCGCCGACGACATCGCGCGGGCGGTGAGTGAGCCCCATCACCATGCCCCCCTGGCTCTTGACCCCGCCCGCGCTGGCGAACGCAGCGTCGCTGAAGCACGCGGTGGTGGCGGCCATCAGATCGACGAGCCTGCGCTTCAGCGCGATCGCGAAGTTCGCGGTCGAGTGCACGTAGGCGACGGTCTTGTTCAGGGTGTTCGCGTCGGCCACGGCGGCGACGTTGGCGCGGCGAATTGCAAAGCTCACCGGGCAGGCGATGTCCACCCGGGTCTGGGCTGCAAGCCATAGCAGCTGCCCGAGCGTGTGGCGGTAGCTCGTCACCTCGGTGGCGGTGAGCCGATTCTCGGCATTGCGGCCCTTCGGGGCCTTCAGGTCGACATAGCCGCGGCGAGCCCACCTCCGTCGTGGAAGTAGTAAAGGCCCTTCTCGAGCGTGCTCTCCACGAGGCCGCGTTCGGCGAAGACCTTCTGGACGTAGAGGTACCACTGCCTCACGGCGTCGCGCGTGCCGTAGATCGCGCCTGTGGCCATCGTGATCTCGCCAGGCTGCGTCCCCGGCGGCGGGTTCTTGGCCGGCATGCGCAGGGGCAGCCGCCTCTCGATGTTCCCCGACTGCAGGTAGGCCGTCATCGCGTCGCAGGACGAGATGTCCCAGTTATTCTGGGCCGCGGCGGCCAGGGCAAGGTACAGCGCGCCCCGAGACCCCGTGGGCGCGTCTGTCCTGGTCTGCGACTTGCCCCCCTGGCAGCCCTGCACGACCAGGCGGGCCTTCATGACGTTCTGGCCCCTGCTGGTCAGCACCCAGCGTGCGCCCGCAGGGCGAGTGCCAGGATTGCGCCGCAGGAGCTCCTTCAGCTCCCTGGGCGGGAGCTTCTTGTAGGCGCCGAACTCTGTCCACTTAGGCCACTCGGTCTTCGTGGCGGCGTTGTGCTTGCGTTGCCCGTGAGCAGTGCCTCACGGAGTCGCGCGCTTGCGTGGAGCTCGTCCGCGTGCTCCTGGAAGTAGTTGTCCAAGTAGAGGTCGACCATGTTCGTGTCCTTCGGCCTCTTGAAGCACTTGGGCAATTCGCCCAACAGCTCCTTGCGCTTGGCTGCGCGCTCGCGCGGGTCGAGCTCGCGGTCACGTCCAAGAGCATGCGGTGCGGATTATTGGTGAAACTGTCGCTGTGCCTTCGTGCCGCGCTGGTTCTCGGTGTCCAGTGGGCGCCTTGCCACTGCTTCCTGTCGAAACTGCTCCTCCGCGGTCCTCTGCCAGTCCCGAATCATGTCCGATCCGGAGCTGTCGGACTTCCCGTCGTTCTCGGCGTCGTCGACAGGGCCCTGAGGCGCGGGTTCCAGTTTTTGATGGAAATCTGCGGCGGCAGGGGCTGCAGGATGATCAGCGGCGGCAGGGGCGGCAGCAGCACCTGAGCCCATGTCGGGCGCCGCAGGGGACGGCGCCGCCGGCGGTGGCGGCGGCAGCGGCGGCGCCGCGACTCCCGAAGGCGGTGGGGCTGCTCCTCCACTGCCGCTAGCTCCTCCACTGGTTGTGAAATCACCGTCTCCTTGTTTGCGCGCCAGCCATTGGGCGTGCTGATGGGCGCGCCTGTTCGCTTCAGTGTTCTCGATGTTGCCGAAGTTGTGCGCCGGGATGGCTGGCTGCTGAACTAGCGCTTGCAGCGCTGTCGGCGGGGTCTGCCCTTCGCTGCGGGGGCGCTTCTGCAGTGTAGAACTCGAGAGGTCGAGAAAGGCGTCATCGCCGTCTCCTGGCGGCGCGGGGCCATCGCGTCCTCCGCCGTGGCCAGGCGGCGGGGGCCCACCGCCTGCGCCGCCGCCGCCTCCTCCAGGACCTCGAGGAGGCGCGGGCCCTGAGGCCCCTGGCGGGGCGCCCGGTGGTGGCCCGGGCGGCTGGCTACCGCTCAGCGCGTTCAGCACTTGTCCCCGCGGCGCGAGCTCCGATGCCGCGGCGCGGCGTAGGTGTCCACGGTTGACCTTCGCGGTCGTGGGGCAGTGGCTGACCTGGACGTTCGAGGCCCCCTCGAACCCGATGATGACGCCAGGCCCGTGCCACTGCAAAGCGCATTCTCGCTTGGGCTTGCCGTTGCCCCTCCAGTGGTGCACCTGGTCGCCGGCCCGGTAGACGTCGCTGGCGCGCTGAGCTCCATCTGCCCGAGACCGGGCCAGCAGCGCTCTCGAGAGGGATTGGTTGAACATCACCTGCTGCGCGGAGATCTGCGCGGCCTTCACGATGGCGATCCTCTCTGAGAACGGCTTGTCGGACACGAGGCGCTCGCGCTGGGAAAGCCTGCCGGCGTTGTCCAGCAAGCAGAAGGGAAGCCGATGGCCTCGTCCGAGCACCCACTGCGACGGCGAGTAGCCCGTGGAGTTGACCTGGCTGTTCATGGCCCAGCACACGGAGGCGATCAGTCACTGGACCTTGTGGGCGATCTCGGGCTGGTCGAACCTGATGCTGAACTGGTCGATCAGCTTCCTCGCGCGCGCCTTCCACATGCCTCCACGTCGCTCCACGGTGGCATTCTGCTGCGACGCAGCCGCAGAGGTGGTCATCAGGCGGCATCCCATGCCCCCCAGCTCCTTGGGGAACTCTCGCTCGAAATCGCATCCCCCATCCAATTTGAAGCGTCGAGGCGCGCCGAAAAGCGCGACCAACATCTGCAGCAGTCGAGCGAATACAACTGGCGGGTGCCTTGATGCAACCGTGCCCCGCGCATCGTAAAACCTGAGGCCAGATCGGCCACGTTCAGGTAGATCAGAGGGTAAAGAGGTCCACCCCGACGGAGCCTCCTTGTCCAGACTGATCCTGCCCAGCAGGTGTGGTAGTGGCCGTCGATGTGCTGCGCGGACCTCGCAGTAGAGGTTGAGAGCCATCTCTATGGATCTCTGCGATCCGCCTGTCACGCGGATGCCTCGGGCAAGCGAGTCGTTGGACGGGTGCCCCGTGTTCGCGTGGAACTGCATCGCGGCCGACCTGGGCGTCCGCTCCTCCGCGGCCGTGAGCACTGGTTCCTGTGCAGACGCGGCGGCCGGAACCGTCCTCCTGCTCGCCCTTCGTGCTGTAGGGTGTGATTCGCGCGGGGGTCAGCGGTTTGGTCGCTGCAGTTGTCCGGCCAACACCTTGGCGAGCTTGCACGTGTAGTTTTCGTTATTACTCGCGATTTTGCCGCGAGCCTCGGCGTGGGGATGCGACCCATCGCAGAC